ACCCAGAAGCCAGGACAGGCAGTGCGTGTTTAGACAAGATAGAGAAAGCCAGCATCTCCCTCTAGGCAAGAAACAGAGTAGGAGAGCAGGTTTTTTATTCCTTTGGCCTTGAGGAACATGGCAGGTAGAGCCATTCCCACCACTGTCTAGAAGGAAACTTAATGTCATTGGGGGCTAAACCCAGAGGTCCCATACATGGCCCTTTCCAGCATTTCCAATCAGATCTCATGACCCACAGTCATGTCATCATGTAAAGCTTAACATGACATGCATTTACCCCTAACTCACAAGTGATTAAAGTGACTTTGTTCTAAGAATTTGGTGTTTTGTTTGTTTTTTCAGGACTCTTCCGAACAGGATTGAGACACTTTCCAGAGGCCTCCCTATGGCTACACCATTTTTGGTTGTTGTTTTAAATTTTTAAGTAGTGAGAGGATGGCAAAACTACAGGAGCAGTCAACTATGAAGACTGAGAAGTCTGGGAACAAAATTCAGTGTTGAAATCAAGTAGAAGTTACTCCCGAGTTAATAAGACACAGCTAGTCATACATCGACACTGCACCAAATGGAAGCCAGGCGTGAGAGAAGTCAAATCACCACAGGCTCCCACAGGCACAGGTGGGAAGGTGCCCCCACTCTCCCCAAGTACATACAGCATGCCCTAACCCACCTCCTGCCTTCCTCCCATGCTGTGCATTCCTCTCTTCCCTTAACAGCCCCTTGCCAGTCCTTCTAAAGTCTGCCCTGCCTGTTCTAGGCTTCCCCAGTCTCTACTCCTCAATCCCCCCAGTGGTCACAGGCTGAAGAAGTCACCAGGATTTACAGAGCCTGACTGTGCTGAGGCACTAACCCCACACAACCCTAAAGCAGAATTATTATGACCCTAACTCTCTGCACTTCAGAACCCTTTGACACCTTTTAAAATCCCCCTAGGAGCACTCATTCTCCAACTGAAGGGCCCTGCCTCCCTACAAACTGTCAAACAGAGACGTGGGCTGTGGGGAGGGCTCCAAGCCACAAGATAAACCCAGCACAACCACCTGGACTACAGGTTCACGGAAAAGGTTCCTAGATGGCAGAGTCTGTGAGGTTCTCTGCCAACTGGAGACACAGATACTAAAGTTTCAAAGCAAGAATTTGCCCCAGTGGAATACAAGCCGCTCACCCAGAACATAGGCCGCTAGGTGGGAGCAGAGCAGGTGCAACAGAGACGGCAGGAGTGGAAGGGTGGGTGGGTGACCCAGGCCACCCTCATCTACTCCCCCGCTGTGGTGGTTGCTCTGATGATGCATCTCCCCAAAGAAGACTTGCAGGACCCTCCCCTCTGAGATTCCTTTCAATCTACTTACCCAAGTTGAAGTTCTCACAGACTGGTAAATGCAGTGAACTTATTTGCAAGCCACGGTCATATCTGCCTAGCAACCCAACACGAAGACTTCAAGGATTATAAGCATGGTCGGAGAACAGGCAGGCCAACTTTGCACAAAGGAATCCGTTCTCATGCAAATGACCCGAAGCTAGAGGGCTAGAGGGAGAGACCTGGGGACAGCTCTGAGAAGCCAATTTTTTTCCCAAGAAGATATTGGGGGGACTTTTGAAGAGCATCTTTATAGCTTTGGCCACTGGAAAGGAAAGGCTGGAGGGCAGAGCACCTTGGATTATGACAGACAGAACAGGAGCGGCTAAGAGGGAAACTGAGACCTTAACTTAATTTAGTGATTTTTTTTTTCTTTTTGGTCCTGTTCTCCAGACTCCAAAGGTTCTTTTGTTCTTATTTAGAACTAAACAGAGTTAGTTTTGTTTGGGGGGGTTTGCCTAGCATGGTAATGCAGTGCTTTCCACGGAGAATTTAAGAAAGCAGGGGTTTTCACGCTTGGTCTCACTAGGATTGAGGGAACAAGGTGAAGCCAGCCCTTAACCAGAGTGGGCAAAAGTCATCGGTTTGTGGCTAAGGAGCCTGCACTGAGGCTGGGTTTCCAGTAACCTCTCCACTTTTCAAACATAGATGGCAAGCATCAACCTCAGATGATCTCTAGTGGCAAAAAGGGCCTGTGTATATCTATAAATTTGGTGTAACTTTGGGCTAATCCCTCCCATGCTCAGTGCCTTGACTTTCCTCATCTGTAAAATGGGGATGAGATTCACATGCAGAAGGTTGCTGAGGGGGTTAAAATCAGATCATGCATGATGCTTAATACAGTGTTAGGAAAAAGCAAACATGAAAAAATATAACTTTAACAAAGATTAAGAGTAATATCAATGATAACAATGATAATAATGCATTATTATTACAATGATCCCCCCACTCAAAAAAACAGCCAAATTTCACTTATGAAACAGTCAGATGCAAGTTTTAGAATCATTCATTCACCTGTAAGGCTTTAGGCATTATTTGTCTAATTTTTAAAATACTGAAATGTTATATGACCTGCTTAGATGGGTTGCACCTTTAGACCTCTAAGACAATACAGTCCACAATATGTCACTGTTACCTATGACCTTTCCATACTGAGCCCAGTGACAGGTGCTAAACATGAAAGTGTAAGATGCTAAATACCAAAGATTATGCTTATAGGTGGTCGTGCTTTAGCATTAAGTGATTTCATTAGAGTCATTAAAATCAGTTTCTAAATATCATTCCATGTAGATTCTCTGAAGAACTTGAATTAGGACCTCTGGCAGGGCATGTGCTGGAGGCATGGCTTTTTGAGTTGAGGGCCTTCTTTGTCACTGAAGCTTGAGTGCAGTGTCACAATCATAGCTCACTGCAACATCAAACTAGGTTTAAGCGTTCCTCCTGCCTCTGCCTCCCAAGTAGCTGCAACTAGAGACAGGTGCCAGGGTAGCCACTAATTTTTTTTTTTTTTTTTTAGACAGAGTCTCATTTTGTCACCTTTGGTAGAGTGCTGTAGCATCATAGCTCACAGCAACCTCAAACTCTTGAGCTCAATCCTCTTGCCTCAGCCTCCCAAGTAGCTGGAACTATAAGCTCCAGCCACAACACTGGCTATTTTTAGAGATGGGGTCTTGCTCTTGCTCAGGCTGGTCTAGAACACGTGAGCTCAGGCAATCCACCTGCCTGGGCCTCCCAAAGTGCTCGGACAGCGGGCTAATTTTTAAATATTTTTAGTGGGGGAGGATCTGGCTATGCTGCTCAGACTGGTCTCATATTCCGGCCTCAAGCTTCCCAAATTGCTTAGATTACAGGAGTGAGCCCCAGTGCCTGCCTGGAGTCAGCAATTAATTGGCTTTGGTAAACCATAAATTGTAACAGAGATAAGAGCTAGCGGGTAGTGAGGCCTTACCATACGCCAATCACTGTGATCCGAACGTTACAGACATCATAAATTAAACCCTTAAACTCTGAAAATACAATTATTAGTCCCCATTTTACAGATTTGAAAAATAACTCTCTAAAAAAAAAAATTACTCTTCCAAGGTTGCAAAACTACTCAGCAGAACCCTGGCTGTATAGTACCGGCCCTAACAGGGCACTCTCCACCTATGAACCTGCTCCCCATCTTAACCCAACCAAAGCTAGTTAACAGCAAAGGATGGCATTAACCCCATCCCAAAACGGTGAGAGAAACCAACGAGCAAAGAAGGAGTTTTATTAAAATTCAGATCCCAACTCCTCCGGGCGACGACCCTCCTCCGTGCACGCACTCCCAAACTAGGCTCTCTTGAGTTTCTGACATCAGAACCACGTTCTCCGAACCCCAATGAAGGGAGCAGCCAGAGCCCAAGTCTGTATAAGGCTTTTAAATAATAGGACTTTTGTTTCCCAGTTCCCAAATTTACCCTAGGGATGCGAGGTGGCGACCGAAAAGCCAAGTTTGCGCTCCCCGCGGGCTCTGAAATGTCTGCTTTGTCCCCAGGAAGAGCTAGCTCATAACAGGTTTCCTGTGCATCACCCACTTAGTTCGCCGTGACCTTGGGGGTCAGAGGCTTCAGGATGAGGGGCACCGACTCCCTAACCTCCGGGCCCCCAACTGAGGGCTCCCCACCGGCAAGGCGGCACTGCACCTGTGCCGACGTCGCCTCCCGCCGGGCAGGGTGCGCGCGCGCCTCCGGCCGGGGATGCTGACTCAGCCCTGCTGTTCGCATTCCTTTCGCGCAACGCGGATGCTGTTGCTGCTGCTGCTGCAGCAAAGCGGGGGACACCAGGCACCCGGAGCAGCCCGGTCGCTCGCTCCCTGGGGCCCACTGCGGCACTTCTGCCCCACTTCCGGAAGGGGAACCACGGGGGTGCGCGAGTTGACGAAATTGAGGGAAGTGGGCGCTGCTGGAGGAACTCGGGCGCCGCGCGCGCAGCTCACACCCAAACTGGAAGGAACCTGTTCTGCCCGGGGCGGGCGCGAAGCCGCCGCCGCGAGCGCAGCGCGGGACCAGCGCAGGCGCGCGCTTCACCTCTCCCCACTAAATCCCCAGATTCTCAGACCCGGGGCAGGGCTGGGCAATGGGCTCGCCGGGGGGATTCGGGGAGGTAGCGGCCAGGCGCTCCGACACAAGGTGCAGGCGTCCGGACTCTCATGCACGCCCGCGCTCCTACTCGCATTGCAGCCAAGCGCCGGGGTCTGGTCGAGCCAGGCGCGCCCGGATTTGGGGACTGGGGGAGTCACGCCAAAGACCCCGACGTTGCTGATTGTGGCGGCCGGGCCGGGAATGGCGACGCCGTTACCTTCCGTGACCCCCAGCCCAGGCAGCGGGCGGGAGGGCGGGCGCGTGCCCGGCGCGGCCCCGGTCCACGTGGGCCGGCGCGCGCGCGCCAGGCCGGCCCCCTCCTTGGCGGCGCTCAGCGCTCGCAGCACATGGTCGGCGGCGGCGCGCCCCCGAGGCCGGCGGAGACCGGCTGCAGCCGGTATAGGATAAGAGATAGACAGCGACGCGGGGCCGGGGCGCGGGCAGCAGCACGCACGGCCCCGAGCTCAGGCAGCCCGGGTGGGGGGCGGGGGGAGGGTGTGGCTCGGGTACCCTAGGCGCAGGAGTGGGTGGAGGGCCGGGCAGCACCCGCCCGAGCCAACTTGGGCCAGACTCGGGCCCGCCCCTTAAGGGGTTAAACCTTTTCTCATGTTACCGAGCGGCTTATAAGAAGGGGGAGGCCAAGCCTCCGCCTTATTGAGAACCTTTTGGGGTTTATTCTCTTCCCTTCTAACTTGGTGAGTTGGTTTTATTATTTTACATGCTTAAAAGTTTGATTGTGGGGTATGGGTTGTTTTTTAAAAATATGTGTTGGGGCCTTTTTTGGGGACGGGAGGCGGAGGAGACCATTAAACATCTTAACATTTTGGAGAGATTGCTCCGAAAAATACTCTTGACAGTTAGAAATGCTCGAGGCCCCTAGGATGACGCGCTCTCGCGGGTCTGGGCAGCTGAAAGTTGCATGTCCGTGACCCTGGTACAGTTGGATCCCGGGAAATGCCTAAAGGCATGCCTAGTCTTTGAGTACCCCCCATCCCGAGTTAGGGGGCTCCAGGTCGTCGAGCGAGTCGGGGACTGGGGGCTAAGCCCCTCAGTGGGTTTTCCGCATGAAGTTGCCTGCGCGTCGCTAGAGCGAAATGTCAGAGGTACCTTCCTTCCCCAGACTGGCGCGCGCACGCAGGACGGCCACTGAGGCAGCGCGGGGGAAAGTGGGGCTCCCTGTCTGTCTCCCCCCTCCGAACACACGACCACTACCCCGGGATGGCCGCCGTGTGCCCCCCCCACCCCGAGAAAGGTAGAGATTTTCCTGCAGAGCGCGGGTCCTACACCTTGACGGTCAGAACTGTCAGCTGCTGACGGCTGGTCCCGCGCAACTTCCACGGTTCCCGGGGCTGCCGGCCGCAGCAAAGCGCTGGTGTAGCCGACCTGTTCTGTAGCCAGAGAGAATGGTTTGCAAGAGGAAATGGGTTATTTCCTTCTGGGTTGTTGTTGTCTTTTCATCACCTCCCCCCCCCCAGCAGAAAGATCATAGAAGTTTGTTGGGTGGTATGTAAAATGCTCCAAACGTGGGGCACGTCAGCCTTAGGAAAAGCTCCCCGTGCCAACTGGGGAAGCGCAGTTGCAACTTGTCAACCTGGAAGCCAGTTCTGTTTGCACAGTTAGACACTCCATGCCAGCTCCTTCTCGCAGGAGACGGTTTCTACCCTGGGAATGAGACTTCTCAGTGATCTTATTGTTTTTGCAAATCACAGTATACGGGTGTCTTGTTTGCAAAAGAAGAAAATGCCACGTGCTTATGCTGAAATCTCGAACTGATGCATCTCCCTGTGTCCCAAGCACCATTACGTGGCATTTTTGGGGTCAACAGTACATCCTGCCAGGATGATACAGTAGAAACACCTCTTGTCATAATTAAGGGAGGAGAGTCCAAGATAGAAACTTACAGTATGTAAATAAACGATGCAGCCAAGTGGAAACGCTCCTTCCAGCTAAATCAGCACCACTAATCCTGAGTTTCCCTTCTGTGGTTTCCAAAAAAGGACTTTTCCTCAGTGGAACTCCTCAGGAGGACACTTAATTTAAGGGGTCATGTTTCAACATCATGGCCTTGGGAAATGGGTGAATTGATTATATCCAGTGATTTAACCCTGTGAGGCAGAGGTCTAGGTTAGGTTTGGGATTATTATTTTTTTTTAGAGACAGTCTCACTTTGTTGCCCTGGTTAGATAGAGTGCAGTGGTATCAGCTTAGCTCACCGCAACCTCAGACTCCTGGTTTCAAAGTGATCCATCCTCCTCCTTCAGACTTCAGGGACCACTGGCGCCCTGAACTGGCCACAACCCCTGCTAATTTCTTGTATTTTTAGTAGAAGTGAGGTCTCACTCTTGCTCAGGGTGGTCTTGAACTTCAGAGCTCAAAGGGTCCCCAGAGTGCTAGGATTACAGACGTGAACTACCACACCCTGCCAGGGATTTGTTTTTTTTTTAACAGAAAATTTAGGTGAACTTCAAATACGGACTGGTTTTGACAACTGGACCTAGAAAGGACTTGTCAAAGCTGTTCTCCAAGCTACGCCTTTGAGAAGAATAGAGATTCCCAGGGCATATGCTGAGGCTCTGCCTACACCAGTAGCCAGTCAGTCCCCTTTCCATCCAAAGCCAGCATTTTGAACTTTGCTCTAAACTGACCTTGGACTAACTAACATTCTGATGGTCTGCAATCCGTTTATCATGCTCTCAGACCAAATCTTTTCTAGTGCACCTCCCGGGTAAACTGATTTCCAAGCCTTTGGGAAAACATCCACTTATTTGAAAGGGATGCTTAAGAAAACCGAATGCTACTAGGAAGTACTCCAAACTGGCCAGGGATTTTGTTGTTATACTTCCTCCAGAACATTAGGGAGAAGGGAAGAGATGGCTGCCAGGAACCCCCATTCAGAATTGTAGAATTTTATAGTTGGAACAGGTATGAGAAACTGTCACCCTCCGATTTACAGATGATGGAATTTAGGGATTAAAATGGTGGGATCTAGGCATTTCCCCACATTGTGCAACAGGTTAATGGGAATGCAGGCTGCAAGAAGACCCACCCAGGGCCTGGCCTTTAAAGGGCTTCCAGGGATAATTTACAGCAAGTCACTGTCAAAGACTATCATAGAATTATAGATTCTCAGGACAGGAAGAGACCTGAGATCATCAGAGGCTAGTTGAGAACTCCTTTTTTATAGTTATTTTCATTTTAGGTGAAAACAGAGAAAAGAGGCCAGCACAGTGACTCATATCTATAATCCTGGCACCCTGAGAACCCAAGGATCGCTTGAGCTCAGGAGTTTAAGACCAGCCTGAATAAGAGTGAAACCCCATTTCTGCTAAAAATAGAAAAATTAGCTGTGTGTTGTAACAGGTACCTATAGAACCAGCTACTTGGGAGGGTGAGGCAGGAGGGTCCCTAGAACCCAGGAGTTTGAAGTTTCTGTGAGGTAGGCTGGCATCATGGCACTAGAGCCTGGGCAACAAAGAGGGCTCTGTCTCAACGGGGAAAAAAAGAAAATAGAAAAAAGAAATGATTTGCCCTCAGTCATAGAATCAGGTATCACGCATCACCAGGTAGATCCTACACAGCCGACATCCCTTCCCATCACCTGTCCAGGGATCAGATTCCCTATTTTGCAAAATGAGTAGGATTTTACAGAGCTGTTGCACACAATGAGATTCCAAGTCCCTTTCAACTTTAACATTCAGTAATTCTAACTCCATCTGGGGGCTACAGGTTCATCCTAACCCCATTCCAATATGTTTTGATTCAGGTAGGTTCTGAGCCCGCCATATGGACACCCTGCTGGGTTAGAACAGTCATGCCAGTGTGACCCTGCACTTAGTAACCACTTGGTCCTGACTGCTTGTCAGAAATGTGCTGAACTCTGGAAGGACGTGGCTGGTTTTAAATAGGATGCATCCCTGTATTAAGTTTTCATATTGTTACCATCAACAAGTTATTTGAGTCCCTGGAGGCAGACACTGTCACTGTCTTTCCATGGTACTGTCCCTACAGTGAAAGCAGAGGGCCTGTCATCTAGCAGGTACTTTGCTGGGAAATAAAAATTATGTGTAAAGTACAGGGCCAAGGGCGGGGGAGGGGTGGTGCAAAGAGATGTAGGCCCCCAATTTTTGTGAGCTTATAATTTAACCGAGCAAATGAGATAAATGTCTGGATGTATATGATACCCCATCATTAAATGATACCTGTCACACAAAGAAGAGCGCTCTTAGGGTAAGCTGGTCTGAGGATATGTTATGAAGAAGGAAGTATTTGACGGAACAAGGCTTTAGAGTGATTCTGTGCCGGCTTCCAGCTATAGATGCGGCATCCCAGCGTGGGGGAGTAACATGACCACAGCCTGGTAGGTACCCACTATGACCTGACTGTGGCAAGTGACTCAAGTCTTAGAACTGGAAGAATCAAGGGAACAAGCAAGGTTATGAAGGACACTGAAAGCCAGGCTCATAGGTGGATTTTAGCCTTCTAAAGGAGGAAAGCCATTGAAAAAGTCTGAACAGAAAAATGCCACCAGGATGGAGCATTTCAAACATAGTAATTGTAGTGGACACGTGGAGCCATTTAAAAGGCTAGTAAAGGAGTCGTGGTCATCACTAAGAAAAGCTCAAACTAGTGGCTTGAAGGGTGAAGGCCAAGGCCTCGGCCACCATCGCCATCCCTCCTGCCCTCCAGCTCTCCCTACCCAGGGCGGAGCACTGTTCTAGAGCCAGAATCGAGAGGCACTTTGTAGGGGAGGGGTGTCTTCACTCCTGCCCCAGCCCCTCTCTTCCTAAGAGTGACTTCCGGGAGGCTAATGAGGAGGGATGTTGTGAAGGCTGCATTGGCTGGAGGGCTCCTGGCTCCCATCTCAAATCAGTTGCTTTCCATGTGGGAGGACACCAAAGACTAACTGCAGCTGCTCAGCCTGCCTCCGGAGCTACCTGCCTGCCCTTTCTCCCACCTTTGCCTTTGCTCTCAGCCATGACACATCTCACACATCAAAATGCAGAGGTATTTTGCTGTAGAGAATGTAAGCTTCTTAAAGCGTCTCATGCCCTATTTCATTCAACCAAATATCCTGACAGTCATAGAAATACAGAGGCCTTCCCAAGCCTGAGGCTACTGTGGGAAGGGGGCTATCAATAGGATACATGATATTCAATTAGGTCAGATTGGCTGTTTGTTAAGATTTAGCAAAGTAAATGTAGAATATTCAATTTTAAGATGAGAAACCAGTAAGACGGATAAAGTTGGATCTTGTGATTTTTAAGTTGCCCTCTATTATCAATAAAACTTTCGCCTTAGTAACTTGAACATGACAATTTATGGCTAAGCCAAACATGCACCCTAAAAATTCACCTGTGCACAACTGGATACTTGCGCAGAATTTTTTTTTTTTTACTACTTTTTCACTGACACGTAATAATGACACTATTTATGGAGTATATAACAATGTTTCCATACTTATATTGTCCCATAATCAGATCAAAGTCATTAACATATCTAATTACTAACAAACATTTATCATTTCTTTATGTTGGGAACGTTCAATATTCTCCTTTGGCTATTTGAAATGATGTATCATTAACTCTAGTCATCCTCATCCTGTACAGAACACTAAAACTTATTCCTCCTATCTAGCCCTACTTTTGTATCCTTTAGTACATCTCTCCACATCCTTCCCTTCCCATCCTCTGGTATCATCATCTGTTCTGATTTTTCCTTCTATGAGATCAAGTTTGTTTTAGTTTCCACATACAATGTATGAGTGAGCACATGAGGTTTTTAATTTTCTGTGCCTGGCTTATTTCACTTAACATAATGTCCCCCAGTTCCATCCATGTTGTCAGGAATGACCGGGGTTCGTCCTTTTTATGGCTGCATAGTATTCCACCCTGTGCCACACTTCATCATCCCTCCCATCTGTTGTTGGACACTTAGGCTGGGTCCATTATCTTGGCTATAAGGAATAGAAGATGGGAGCAAAATCTGTCTGACACGCTGATTTTCTTTCCCTGGGACAAATGGCAATGGGTGGGATGGCTGATCACATGTTAGTTTTATTTGTAGTTTTTGAGAAATCTCCCTACTGTTCTCCACAGTGGCTGTACTAGTTTATATCCCCACCAACAGAGTTCCCTCTCCTCCATATCTGGGCCCACATGTGCTATTTTTTTTTGCCTTTTTGATAATAGCCACCCTAAGTGGGGTGAGATGAATCTGCATGGTGGTTTGGATTTGCATTTCCCTGATCGTTGGTGATGTTGAACATTTTTTCACATACTTCTTGGCCATACGTGTGTCTTCTTTTGAGCAATGTCTGTTCAGATCATTTGCTCATTTTTTAATCAGGTGGGTTTTTTGGGTTTTTTGCTGTTGCGTTGTTGAGTTCTTGGTATATTCTGGGTATTAATCCCCTGCCAGATGTGTTGTTTGCAAATGTGTTCTCTGATTCTGTAGGTTGTTCTACTCTTTTTGTTCCTTGGCTGTGTAGAAGCTTTTTAGTTTGATATAATCTCCCATGTGTTTATTTTTGCTTCCCTTGTCTGTGCTTTTGAGCTCTTATTCATAAAATCTTTTCCCAGACCAATGTCACAAAGCCTCTCCAGTATGTTTTTTTCTGCACATTTTTCTTTGTTTTGTTTTGTTTTAGGTCTTTGACGCATTTTGAGTTGATTTTGTGTGTGTAGGTGAGAGGTGGGGGGTCTAGTTTGACTGTTCTGCGTGTGGATATCCATTGGCACCGCACCATTTGTTGAAGAGACTGTCCTTTCCCTACTGAGTGTTCTCAGTGCCTTTGTCAACAATCACTTGGCTATAGATACGCAGATTAATTCATGCATTCTCTATTCCGTTCCATTGGTGTTTATGTCTGTTTTTATGCCAACATTGTCTTATTTTGGTTACTGCAGCTTTGAATAATAGTATATTTTGAAGTCTGGTAGTGAGATGCGTCCAGCATTTTGTGAAGGATTATTTTAAGTTTTAGAGTTTTTTTTTTCCTATTTCTGTGAAGAATGTCATTGGTATTCTGATAGGGATTGCATTGAATCTGTCAATTGCTTTGGGTAGTATATAAGGAATTCTTTTTTTTTTTTTTTTTGGAGATAGAGCCTCAAGCTGTTGCCTTGGGTAGAGTGCTGTAGTGTCACAGCTCACAGCAACCTCAAACTCTTGGGTTTAAGCGATTCTCTTGCCTCAGCTTCCCAAGTAGCTGGGACTATAGGCTCCTACCACAACGCCCAGCTATTTTTTTATTGTAGTTGTCATTGTTTGGCAAGTCTAGGCTGGATTTGAACCCACCAGCCTTGGTGTATGTGGCTGGTGCCCTAGCCACTTGAGCTATAGGCGCCAAGCCAGGAATTCTTAATCTTGAGGTTACTTGCCATTAAGAGCTCTAATACTGTGGACTCACTAATTATTATATATCATTAATTTTTAATTGGGCTAAAAATACACATCACTGTTTCAAAGCATATGTAATGGTGGGATTACAGGTGTGAGCCACCACACCTGGCTGCAATTACATATGGAGACCACACTCTGGGTGGATTGCCTGAGTTCATGACTAAAAGCAGAAAAAAGCTAGCCAGGTGTTGTGGCGGGCACCTGTAGTTCTAGCTACTTAGGAGGCTGAGGCAAGAGGACCCGTTAAGCCCAAGAGTTTGAGGTTGCTATGGGTTATGATGCCATGGCACTCTACTCAGGGTGACAGATGGAGACTCTGTCTTTTTAAAGTATATGTAATTGCTGAGGCTTTGAAAAAGACTCTTTTCATGTGCCAGAGCCCAATCCAGAAGGCCTAGGTTAAACCAACCTTCCCGTGTTCAACACAGAGTCTCCTGTTAGTGGTGTTACCACACAGGTCTCCATGATCTGATGGTTGCTGCAGTTTACATGGAAGAACACAATGAGGCCGGGGTAATTTGGTTAACTGATGTCACTGTATTCTAGATTATTTGTCGTGTACTCAGAAATTCAACTGCCAATACACCAAGTGGCAGTCAAATCTAAGGAACTTATGCTAAACAAACTTCCAGAAGACATAGCTCACCCATTTTTATTTATGGTTACATTCTGTCCGTGTGGGTACGTCCATCCACCTAGACACCAAATCCTAATCGGAACGTTGCCTATGGAGTAGAAAAGGGGAGCAGGAGGAGCTGGCTGTGCAGTCTTCATGGCCAGTGGTTTCAAGCAGAGATGCTCGTGGTATTTCGAATGCTCAAGAATTTACCTGTGATCCTGTGGAAGGTGCTGGACATATTGTCAGTGTTTGTTATTCAGCCTCCCTTTTCTAAGCTTCCTTCCTTTTTGTTTTAAAGAGATGCGATCGCTTTAAAATGCAGTGGCATGTGATCATAGCCCATTGCAGCCTCTAAATTCTGGGCTTAAATGATCCTCCTGCCTCAGCCTCCCAATTAGCTCAGACTTCAGGCACCCACGCCACTACATGCAGCTAATTTTTTGTAGAGATGGGTCTTGCTATGTTGCCCAGGTTTGTTCCCAACTCCTGGCTTCAAGTGATCCTCCCACCTTGGCCTCCCAAAGCATGGGGATCAGAGGCATGAGGCACCGCACCTGGCCTCTAGGCTTCATTTTTGATCAGCATTCCTTGTGGTCAATTCAATCTTTCTTTGCCTAACTTGTCTCCTTCAAGGTCAGCGTCAATACTTGGTCTGGTGGCCATTCTGTGTCCCCCAAAGTGCTTCTAAGTATTCTGCTGTGGTTCCTTATGTTTATTTGAGAACATTTAGCTGTCCTAGAAAAGTCCTACTTCCAAGTTCTTTGGGGACCGCATACACAATACAAAGATTTTTAAATACATATATGTTTGAAATGGTCCAAAAACTTTATCCTAACTAATAGGACATGATTAAAATATTCAACCTAAGTAACAAGGTAAGTAATTCTTATCTGTTATGTTTGCTAAAGAGTATTACAACCAGCAACACTCGGGTTATTGCCGGTCTGAATTTTTTTTTTTAATTTTTATTTCAGATTTTAAAAGAATGACCCAAAAGAAAGCAAGGGTTTGTTTCAGAGCCAACGTGTACACTGAAGTGCCTGACGGAGGATGGGGCTGGGCAGTAGCGGTTTCCTTCTTCTTCATTGAAGTCTTTACCTACGGTATCATCAAGTCATTTGGTGTCTTCTTTAATGACTTAATGGACAGTTTTGATGAATCCAATAGCAGGATCTCGTGGATAATATCGATATGTGTGTTTGTCTTGACATTTACAGGTTAGTACTTCCTTCAGCCTTACTATGACATGACCGTGGGTCCCTTGTCACCTGCCTAACTATGTAATGGTAGTTGTGCTACCATGCTACGTAATGCTGTGATCCTGATGCATTCCTTTGTGTTATCCTGTTTACTTTGTTATTTTGTTTTGTTGTTGTTGTTGCTTTTTGAAACAAGATCTCCCTCTGTCACCCAGGCTGGAGTATGGTGGTAACATCATAGCTCACGGCAGCCTCGAACTCCTAGGCTCAAGCAATCCTCCTCCCTCAGCCTCCCGTGTAGGCAGGACTATAGGTGCATACCACCACACCTGGCTAATTTATCAGCTTACCACCCGTTTATTAGACATCGGGCATCTGCACACTCTCAGGATTGTGCGTATTACTTTGAGGAAAGCTGTCAACCCCAATTCTGTGAGTATATAGTCATTGTCTAAAGAAGCAACCTCAAAAAGTTACTGGCATGCCAGTACCTGATCTCCTAATTATAGGTTGGAAACATGTAAATGAGGATACATGAAAAAGAAAAATGGGATGAGTAAAAGGAGATACTATGAAATTACAAACACCATCTTCGGGAGACACTGTGAATACCAAACACCTGCTTCCTTAAAGGACACCACTGATTCATCATTACATAATACTCCCAGATCCAAGGGCACAAAAGAAAATCAGGTTTTAGAATTATTGTTAACATACTAATTTTTACTTGGTCACTTACGGGTCTAATTTGAACACGAATGCTAGGTGTCAGGAGTTTATCTGTCAAAGTTACCACTGAAGTTAAAGCCATTCTTTAAATATAGTTCATTTTTAGCCATATATGTCTTTAAAGAAGCAGCTCCATGTGTTTTTAGCCACTGGGTAAAGTAGGAATTTCTCTTATTAGTCCTACTATCAAGTTTCATGAAATAACTCCTAGTTCCAGTTCAAGTATTAAGATAACTTAATTTTTACATTGTAGAATGCTTACCTTCTTAGATAATTTAAATGAATTAGAACTAAAATTTTACACTTGGTAATCTAAATAAAAAGAAAATCCCAAAGCTTAAGTTTTAGTTCTTTTATAAACAAAAATAGAAATGTAGTCAACAAGAAATTCCTACTTAAGCCTATTACACCAGAAAATAATTCTTCCAAGTGCTGTTATTCTAGTTGTTAATACTTTGAGCCATCATATTGGCTCCAAATGGTAGTGGCTTTGTTATGAGCTATATTCGATATTCGTTCGAATTCTAATAGCTAACACAATAGATATATATGAACTAACACCAGCAAAATTGAAGCCTTTTATCCCTCTCGGCCCCTTCTATCTATTATGTTGTCTTTCCTTGACCCAACTGTCGATGTCTAACTTCTCTTGGTATTCTCAAGTCAATATTAAGTAATATACAACTAGGAAACTAATTTGCCAGATTTATATGTCCTAGGGGATACAGCTTAGAGAAGCTAAGCAAATTATGATTCATCAGACACTTTGAACAGACTGCAATGTTATTGACCCCACAGCAGGCCTCCTTTAAGAGTTCATAACTGAGAATTCACCATACTTTCAGCCTTATAAAGAAACTAACTAGAATCTGATTCCAAATGGAGATTTTTTAAAAATAATTCAAAGCAATGAGTACAGGGAAAAAAAAAAAATCAGCCAGGCACCCTGGCTCATGCCTATAATCCTAGGAGGCCAAAACAGGAGGATCACTTGAGCCTAGGAGCTCAAGTTAAAAACCAGCCTGGGCAACATAGCAAAACCCCAGCTCTACAAAAATAAATAAATAAGTTGGACATGGTGGCACATGCCTGTAGTCCCAGCTATTCAGGAGGCTGAGTCAGGCTGGAGCCTGGGAGTTGCAGGTTGCAGTCAGCTATGATGCAACACTGCCTTTCAGCCTGGGCAAACAGCAAGAGAGACCCTGTCTCCAAAAAAAAAAAAAAAGATTCAAGCAATGATAGGAAAACCAATTTTTGTCATAGATACTGAATAGTGGTGAAGTTTGGGCTTTGGTGTGCCCATCCACTGAATGGTGTACAGTGTACCCCGTAGGTAATTTTTTGTCCCTCACTCACTCTCCCACCCCTTTCAAGCCTTCTGCGTCCATCATACCACTGTGTGTGTCCTTGTGTCCCCCCAGTTTAGCTCGCCCTTATAAGTGAGAGCGTGCGGCATTTGTTTTTCTGTTCCTCAGTTACTTTACTGAGGAGAAAGCCTCCAGTTCTATCCCAGTTGCTGCAAAAGACATTATATTATATTTCATTCTTTCTCATCCCTGAGTAGTAATCTATGTGGCATTTACATAGATACACACACATGCACACACGGGCAAGCATGCACACACACACACACACACACGCAGAGTATTTTCTATAACCACTCCTCAGTTGATGGGCACTCAGACTGATTCCATATCTTTGCAATTGTGGCTTTCTCTTTAAGGAGCCTGAAGAATCATTTTTTTTTCCCAATAGAACCAATATTTTTAAATTTCAAATTAATACGAAGATATAGATTTTAGGTTACATTGTTCTCAATTCTAAGGTAAAGCTCAAGTTGTAGTCGAGCCCTTCACCCGGGGCGGGGGGCGTGCTGAACACCCTCACGTTGGGCACAGTAGGAGAGATCCCAACTGCCCTCCCTCTTCCCCCTTCTCTCCCTTCCTTCTCCACCCCCGCCCTTGCTAGATGATATTTGGGTTCCATCATTCATGTGGATGTGCAGCTGTCTACCTGTTGGTTTCATATTAGTATTGAGTACAGTGGATACTTCTTTCCCCACTCTGTCTCAAAAAAAAAAAAAGACCCTCAAGCTGTCACCCTTGGTAGCGTGCTGGGCATCACAGCTCACAGCAACCTCCAACCCCTGGGCTCAAGAGATTCTCCTGCCTCTGCCTCCCAAATACCTGGGAGTATAGGCATCTGCCACAACACCCAGCTATTTTTTGGTTGCAGCCGTCATTATTGTTTGGCAGG